TTATGCCAGATGTACGGTTCCATATGCCTCAAAAACACTCCTGATATCAGCCTCATCTGCCTCAAATGGGACATTGCGTATCTTAACCCACATAAAGTGGCGAGATACGTCGATCAAACGCACCTTCACAGCTGGAGTAGCGTCAAGACTCACGTCTTGGAATCTCGTCACCAAAGACTCGTACACGGACGTGGAATTCAGTTTGACAAAGATTCTGTAAGCCCCATTCAGGGCTACACCATACACCTCATCGTCCTGGATTCCATAGGTCTCCCTAATGATTGTTGGGAGTAATACCTGCACTGAAGAGGGTGAAATCGCCCCACGAAGCAGCTCAATACCAATGGTATTTACGCACCTCCTCACACTCAGTGCCATGTTGATACAAGGTAGCTCGCCTGAAAACAGCAGAGGGGTGCAGAGCACAACCGCACTCTTACCATGGTCAGGCAGCGAATGCGACATTCTCCAAAGAACACTATTCTTCAATCAACTCGTCAGATATTTGGGCATAACTATGGGTCAGATACATATACCCAGATAAGTGTTCTAACTCGTGATGTACTACTATTGACTGTGCAGTTGAGTATAAGTTACGAGTTAGTCACTTATCATAAATCTTGGTCATAAGTGGACCTTTGAGTCCACACAAGTAAGTGTTGTCAGCCATCAGTGTCTGATATATGCTGACATAACGCCCCCTAGGGGTAAATTATTATTAACATAATATAATCTATTACAGCTCGTTGAGAAGTGACTTCGACAGGTTCTCAAGACCTCATCTGCAGGGGCGGCTGTGTGGACGATAGCTGTTTTATCAGCTAAGTACTTCCTATATTTAATCTTTAACCTTAGCTGGTAAACCATTTCTCAACAATTTGGTCGTGATCGAACCGGATAAAGGCCACACTGTGGTCCAAATATGTTGTACTACAGTGTACAAATAACCTATGAGCCAAGGTCCTTCGAAAAAAGCTGTAAAACTAGTGTGTTACAATAAAAATCGGTATAAATGAGTCCCTCCAGGATCAATCACAGAGAATGGGCAGCCAAAAGAAAACGGGCGCACGCCCAGCGTTCACCCAAAGAAAACGGGAGCTGGGGCACTCACCCATCAAAAACGCAAATGGTACCCGTTATCCACTGCACTCAAGTTGGAGATACGCTGACCACATCAACAAGCCAGATGACCTTCAGTTTGTCTGAGTGTATATACACATAGTGTTTATAATGTTTATAGACAGAAATTAAGAGACGAGATTGTGTTTGTTTCTTATAGATTTAACTGTTATATTAAAGGAAATTATATATAAAGTGTAAGCTTTCATATATATATATAATAACAGTGACATTTACATATGTGTAAGAAATATACATGTGTGTTTTACAGTTATTGAGTGACATTTATAGGGAATAGTGAATGAAGTGTATAACATCGTTATTTACAATTAATCATCGTGGTCAGGCTTGCACAGCAAACTCAAGCCATAAACACCAGAGGTTGATCCAGCCATATGTACTCTGTACTCTTCATGGTCATTGACCCTGAGGTTAAGCTTAGTGGGTCAGTAGTGTCTGACTCGATTATTGCTGACTTAAGCATAACAAAAACTCAGCTGTTTATAGCAGTACAGTGTTTTTTAAACACACTAAGTGTGGTGCTAGAATTTTCAGTATATCATTAAAATGGCTTGTTTAAAAACTCAGTTTGTCTTTACAGACTAAGATTACACAATTAGAAAATCTAATTTCAGTCTGTATAGGATTAACTCAAGATACAAACATAGATTTTGATGATCTTGAGGTCAAATTTGAATTACTTACACAATGTCTGAAAATAATTAATTCAGACTATATAAATTATGAAAATGAATTTCTTGAATCAGACCCATCTAAGGATGAAATTAAAAATGTTTTGGATACATTTAGTAATCAACAATTAAGGTGGACAGGAGTACAGACAATCTGCTGCAAACTCTGTCACAGAGATCTACTGTAACTAGTGGTCAAACACCTGTTGCACCTGTAATAACAACAAGTGTACCATTACTAAGTTTACCTACCTCGTCATTACCTGTTTTCCAAGGTCATAATTATGAGGTTTACAAACAATAGTTTCATGCATGCAAGCAACGAGACAAGATGAAAAATCCACAAATCCTGTGGATAACAAACCTTCAACACAGTATAAAAAGAGTATACCTACTCCCACTAAACCACATAATGGGAAATCCCATATAGGCATTTATCAAGATGTGAATACAACAGACAGTAAACAGACTGTCACACATAAACGTACTCCAAAATGTGTACTTTGTGATGGAACACATTGGGCACAGTATTGTAGTCAATACACATCAATGGAGGAACGTAAACAACGTGTTCATCAGCTGAAAAGGTGCATCAAGTGTTTAGGTGAACACAAGGGAGGGAAATGCTCACTGAAGAAGTGTTTTAAATGCATTATGCCCAAATACCTTTGCTGAACAGCAGAAGACTTCCACAGAATCAGGAAGTCAACAAACAACAGCATTAAATGTGAGAGATAAGTTTAAACTGCTAACTCCCATGGTAGGTAAGATATCAGATGCACATATTAAAAAATGTTAACCATACTGAAAGACTCCGGAAATTAAATGTCCCTCATGACTTTACCCTAGTGAGCTTTGATGTCACATCTTTGTTCACCAAAGCCCCTGTCCCTGACTTGCTTTCGTACCTTGATGAGGAACTAGAAAAATTCCCCATACCCTACCCCAGGAAGATTATCGAATTAATAAAACTTTGTGTTCCTGATTGTAAATTCGTGTTTGAAGGGATATACTATGCTCAAAAACAGAGCGTGGCAATGGGAAATCCTCTTAGTCCCTTACTCAGCAACTTATATATGGAACTCTATGAAACTAGACTTCTTAAAGACTTTCTCCCAGATAAAGCTAGTTGGTTCAGATACGTAGATGATATTCTTTGCCTATGGCCGAGAGATCACAACATTGATGAATTTCTATCAAGACTCAACGGGCTAGAACCTTCCATGAAACATGAAACAAGCAACAGTTTGCTTTTCCTAGATTTTTTTATTCCATCGTATTGATAGAAAATTCAGATTTACACTTTATAAGAAGTCCAATGTGTCAACATACATTAACTACTATTCCAGTCTTATGAAACTAAGGTAAAAAGGAGTGTGTTCCTTACACTGTTCTTGAGAGCCATGCGCATCTGCAGCCCGGAGTACTGAGAGGACGAAATCGGCAAGATACTCAACATAGCCACAAAACTGAGATATCCTAGGGATTTTGTCGAGGAGGCACTAATGTCAGCAAAAAAGACTTTCTACTGGACTGAACCTAAGGAAATGATGACTAGAAAAAACGTATTAGTTTTACCATACAATGAGAATCGGTTTGCCTATATAAGGCATTAAAAAAGATCAATATGAACCTTGCTTTCAAAAACACGGGGACAGTGAAACAAAGGCTGATTAAAAACTCACCCTCCAACAAATTATTATTATTATTATTATTATTATTATTATTATTATTATTATTATAATCAAAAAGAAGCGCAAAGCCACAAGGCCCTCCAACAAAGTTGATGGGGTTTACAAGGCTCCATGTACTCTGTGTCCTCTCTCATATATAGGTCAAACATGTAAAATTCTGGGAACCAGTATAGCCCAACATGAATACTCAGTCAGGACAGGGCAGAGTCGAACGCTATCTTTAACCACATTAGCTCCTGTATTCACCCTCCGGGTTAGGATGCTGCCCAAATTATTGTACCAAACAGTTCAGTCATAGAATCATAACTGAATCTTCTCTCTTGAAACATGGCAGGAATACCGTACATAACACAAATTTTTGGTTATACAAGCTCGATAGCTATCTAGTAGAGTCTATTGTATACAACCTTAAACAACAATGCTATACAAAACCACAGGATTGCTCATTATGCCAGGTGGTCTCATGATGGATTTGTGAGGCTCGACCAGTTGTCTACGCACCAAAACACCATGATACGCCAGTTGATGTATGGTTATATAACGCATTTAGCTGTGATTTCACCATACATTGACGAGATTGAATGGTTACATAGGTAGTGGGTTAAAGGATATTAGAAGTAGAAATCTGGATCATAGAAATATTATTGGAATGGTACAGAAGAATCCCAAATAAGGCATAATAATCGTACAGAGAAGAATAGTAAACAATATAAAGGATATGTCTCAGTACCCCTGAGAACATTCAGTAACAGGACATTTAAACGGACAAAGAGCACATTCATTTCCTTTCTTTTATTAATTATATAGGTTACACAGAATAATAGCAATCCATATATATATAATATCCCCTGAGAAACGTATTTTCTAAAGTCAAAGGACCTGTTCTATCTGGATAGAAAAAGGCTTGAGTTGACTATCATACCTTCTAATTCCATATTTCTTGACTTCTCAAAGCTCTCTTACCCCATATGGGGGGGGGGGGGAGATGGGGGAATGTCAGTGGTGGGTGCGACGCTGACCGCTGGCTATATTCTAGGAGGAGGCGACATGCGCTATTCTGAGAAAAAACTTTCCCTCACTCCTTCAGTTGCAACCTTGCAACATTGCATAGTTCCTGTTGACGCACAGAGAAGTGCGAAAGTATTTGAGCTAAAGATTTCCACCCCCCTGTGGCGTGTCTTGCATATATATATATGAGAATCTGGAATATATGTGTATATATAAATATATTATATATATATATATATATATATATATATATATATATATATATATATATATATATATATATATATATATTCGACTATGTATATGCACTCATGTAAATTTTTGTTTAATAAACATTTTGCTATTCATATTGGTAAATTTTTTTTTTTTTTCGTTTTTTTTTTTTCATGGGGTGAAAGTTGTAATGATATACAGATTACTACTGAATGTAAATAATATTCGTCCCTATCCTCTGCATCTTTGTTCCATTACTTTCTTATCTCACCAGGTCAAAAGTTCGCAATGTTGGAGTTAAAAATCCTAGTGAGCAGCATCTTGAGGAGATTCAGGGTGGAGAGCGTCGTCCCCAGAGACCAACTCAAGCTTGTCCCTGAACTCATTCTTAGACCTGTTAATGGCAACTTCGTCAAACTCTTCCCCAGGACAAAATAATGAGCATAAGAACACCCAGAAACAAGCAACCACATGAACCAAGACATTAATAATAACAGTACTAGTATTGTAGCTTTAAGACATCACAAAAATACTGCCTTTGTTGTTTAGCAAAAAGTACTGGAAATAACAGCACAGGACAATGTACTGGAATGAGCAAATTGATCTAACGATCTAACAATTATTAAATCATCCTTGACAACCAACATAAACTGGAAAATTTTATGTCTAACAAAGTTTAATTTCTAACATCTTTGCTATCTTGATATTTCCCAAGATTTTCTTTACTTTTGAGGTGCTGATGTGAAGCTTCATAACTAATTACAGACTGTAAAAATAATAAGACACCTACAGCAGAACATAAATGTTTACACAATAATTTGTTTAACCATGATAGTTTTCTATTCATCTTCATGGTTAAACACTGTCTTTTAGAAACTTGCTCCATTCTGACTATTGCTTGTATTTTGCGTTCAACTGTTTGCCTCCATTTTGTTTGCAAAACTTACAAAAGTCGAAGTTCCAATATATCATTACTTTTGATTCCATTATACTGTGACTTTCTCTCCTCACACTAACATTCTCCCTCCATGCTTTACCAAGTTATGTAACTAACCCATATACCAAGTTGGGCACAATAACTCATTCAGGTTTGTAGCTTTTTCATATAAGAATATTGTTACTAATAAAAAATAATAACTATTTTAATTCATATTCTTATTCCTATTATTATTTTTATTATTAATTTTTATATAATAATAAAATCACTAATAATAATTCTAATAATAATAAAATAATAGCAATAATAATAATAATAATAATAATAATAATAATAATAATAATAATACAGTAAAAATAATAATAATAAGGGCAATATTTGGTGTGAATGTTATGCAGAGATTTAAAAATTTGGTGATTAGGAGATTCTGGGTTATAAAAAGAGTTATTCAGAGAGCTGAGGAAGGGCAGTTCAGCGGTTTGAACATTTAGACAGGACGGAGCATAATACTATGACTTAGAGGATGTATATACCTGTACTGGAGCGAAGGTGGGGCAGGGGTCGTCCAAGTAAATGCTGAAGGGATGAGGTAAAGGAGGTTTTACATGGAAAAGGCTTGGACATCTATGAAGCCTGTGTCATTGTGCTAGACAGGAGTGAATGCATGGGTATTTTATGAGTTAATGCGCTGTTGGAGTTAGACCAAGGTAACATTTAACAGATCCATTATCATTTACAATAGGTACTTCTTTTACATTAATAACAGCTGTGCCAGGGTTATCAGTAATATTATTATTATTATTAGTATTATTAGATTCACCCTTGCATTTTACAATATGGTGTATTACCTTCTGACAGTGATAAAAAATTTTTTAGTTTAGCTTAAACAATCCTTGACATTAAGATTTCCCAAATATCTGAAACACCTGTTAATTTCATCCAGTTTATCCACCCTAACAGTCCAGAAAACATTTACAAAACAGACAATTCCATGACTTAAGAAATCGTAATGACACGATTGCAAATAAACCATACCATTCCATTTTTGTTTCACTTGCCCATTATTAACTTGGCCACCCCAATTTAAGTACTTATTCCTCTTAATTTATTCCCGGTTCCTACCACTTGATAGATTCCAATATTATTTTTATTATGGGATGAATAGTTGTAATAACTTATGCATTTGTGTTTTTTGTAGAACAACAGATACACCAGAGCCATTATTTGTTACCTCATTATAATTATTTGGTTCACTAGTTTGTAGCTGGGCAATTAATGCTTGAATACCAACTCTTATATCCTCTAGAGAGAAATCTCCTATATGGTATATATTACATACCCACATTAGTCTTACTAGTCAATTTATTTGGCACAGCAGCAGTCATTATCCAGTCTGATTCGTCCAGAGAATGTCTGTTACTTATTGTAAATATTTGTTACTGACTGTAAATTACTGCATTTTTTATAACTGTCCTCAAAAGTTTTTAGCAACAGTGGTTACCTGGTCAACACTGCTTTACTCTAAATATCCCTAACATCACTGGTTCATATCCGGTTCTAAGGACCAATGACTTTGTGAAAAATTATGAATGAATTTCATAGGTACAGTCACACACATAAAAGAGAAGAACTCTGGTACATCTAAAACAGATGACACTTACTGATAATGATGTATCTTGGCGACATGAAAAACTTGAGGAATAATGGGTCGCCAAATTACTCCTTCAGTGCCCACTGTCTCAGCTCTTCAACTCACGTCTGGGCGTTAAATTTTCTGTGAAATGTATTTCCTGATTTTTATTGAATAAAATATTTCAAGCGAACATAACTTTTTATGATGCATGCCATGATACCATTGATCATCCACATAACACAGCATCTAATAAGATCCTCATCAACATTATTCTGATGATTACACTCTATATCTTTATTATTGCAGATACACTTCGCAAACTTATTTCACAGAACTAAATTTATGCCGATATTGTTTCTATCAGTTTCGATTAATAACAATTAATTACACCACTGATTAGACCAATGCACATATTACGTCATATTCTACTACCTCTCTTCACAAACGACTATATTATACACATATATTTAATAACATTCAGAGACGTTTTCACGTGTGTAGCTCATTCTCTTTATCAAATAAGAGTTGTACTCTCAAAAATGTTTGGACTACATGAATTGTATTATGTTAGCAAACAAGTAAATGCATATCTCGTTCCCCTGTTATATGACATGGTGTTCAAGCGGTGGGGATTTTTAGTATTGTTATACATTACGAGCACAGGTAAAAAGTGGCCTGTGACCTGGTCCTAATGGGGGTTTGGAGCAAAACAAACTCAGCAGATAGACTATAATGTATATATTGCCTTCTTATGTATTCAAATATGTACACTATGTACAGATGAAATAATAATAATTGTACATGATGGTGACAGATGGCAAAGCAAAGGCCAGAGATAGTGCCCTGGACTCAACCAGCAGGCAGGCAAGTCTGGCAAATGCTGACTACAAGTGAACCACATTGTTTCAGCTTTGGTGGATTTGCCTCTGATTGGTCAATGAACCAAGGTACTGGTTTAATAAAGGTTACCCTATTGATTGTTAAACCTGTAGCATCCAGTTCACTGCTTGTGAGGCAGCCTACACAGGAGTGTGACATATGCCGAATAAATTGTAACATACTCTTTGCATGCAACACCCCCATCCTTAAAGGGCTCTAATAGCCAGGCTTGCACCTAGATGAGTAGCATGCCGCCATGGCACTGAACAATAATGGAACCACCTATCCGCTCAGCCACCTAACTCATCAGATATTATTATAATAAAAATAAAGAGCTAAACCTACAAGGGTCATACAGTGCAAACTCATTAGAAAGAGCTTAACTAATCTAAATTAAATATGGAAAAGGGAATCAGCCAGGTTATTTTTCTTGCCGGGAATATAGACAAGGTTGCAGACTGAGACTCCATCTCATCAGATGTGTGTTGTGGTTTTTAATAGTGTTGTGGTAGATCAGTGGTCTATGATTGCTGTAGACTATGACTACTTGGGATGACTGCCCCATGTAGACCTGGAAATGCAAGTATCAGAGCAAGGGCTTCTTTCTCAGTGGTGGCATATGCCCTTTTATGAGGTTGATACTTGGCAGAAAAGTAAGTCATTGGCTGCAACTGTTCTTCCTTAGATTTTTGTAAGGGAGTATTTGCCCCTACCTTTGGCTCCATGCATCAACCTGTTATACAAAAGGTTTTAAAAAATCGGGAGACAGGAGAAATGGGGTGTAGTAGTAGTTTGGCTTATTAAATGCTTGTTGACACTCTGGGGTCCTTTGAAATTTTTGTTTCTGACTGGAAAGTGAGGACAGGAGGGCTACAACATCTGCAAAGTTAAAACAGAATTGTCTGCAAAAACCTACTATCCCTAAGAAATGCTGGAGGGATTTTCTGTCTTTGAGGTACCAGTAATTCTTAATGGTAAAAATTTTAGCAAATTTAGGGGCTACTTTACCTTTTACCTTTTCATGCCCCAAAAAAAGTGATAGACGGATGAGTTACACAAATTTTACTGGAAACTCTTAAAACTTCTCAAAGAGAGCTTTAAGTCAAGAAACATGTTGGTCCCACATATCGAAAACTAATACTTTATTGTCTATATGAACTGCCATGCCTTCTAGTCCTTTAACAGTCTTATGGATCAGTTTCTGGAACATTGCCAGTGAGTTCTGCATTCTGAATGGAGTCTCTGTATATAGGAAGTGTCCTGGAATTATGAAGGCAGAGATTTCTTTCACATTATTTGTCAAAGGTACCTGATACTAACCTTTAACGTGCTAGTGACACCCCTGCTTTTCATTGGGGGGATGGTGCATCGTCTGCCAAGTCTTTTGCTTTCGTAGTGAGTGATTTTCGTGTGCAAGTTCGGTACTAGTCCCTCTAGGATTTTCCAGGTGTATATAATCATGTATCTCTCCCTCCTGCATTCCAGGGAATACAGGTTTAGGAACCTCAAGCGCTCCCAGTAATTGAGGAGTTTTATCTCCGTTATGCGCGCCATGAAAGTTCTCTGTACATTTTCTAGGTCGGCAATTTCACCTGCCTTGAAAGGTGCTGTTAGTGTGCAGCAATATTCCAGCCTAGATAGAAAAAGTGACCTGAAGAGTGTCATCATGGGCTTGGCCTCCCTAGTTTTGAAGGTTCTCATTATCCATCCTGTCATTTTTCTAGCAGATGCGATTGAACAATGTTATGGTCCTTGAAGGTGAGATCCTCCCACATGAATCACTCCCAGGTCTTTGACGTTGGTGTTTCGCTCTATTTTTTGGGCCCGAATTTGTTTTTTTACTCTGATGAAGATTTAATTTCCTCTGTTTACCATATCTGAGTAATTGAAATTTCTCATCGTTGAATTCATATTGTTTTCTGCCAGCCCACTGAAAGATTTGGTTGATGTTCCGCCTGGAGCCTTGCAGTGACTGCAATGGAAGACACTGTCATGCAGATTCGGGTGTCATCTGCAAAGGAAGACACGGTGCTGTGGCTGACATCCTTGTCTATGTCGGATATGAGGATGAGGAACAAGATGGGAGCGAGTACTGTGCCTTGTGGAACAGAGCTTTTCACCGTAGCTGCCTCGGACTTTACTCTGTTGACGACTACTCTCTGTGTTCTGTTAGTGAGGAAATTATAGATCCATCGACCGACTTTTCCTGTTATTCCTTTAGCACGCATTTTGTGCGCTATTACGCCATGGTCACACTTGTCGAAGGCTTTTGCAAAGTCTGTATATATTACATCTGCATTCTTTTTGTCTTCTAGTGCATTTAGGACCTTGTCGTAGTGATCCAATAGTTGAGACAGACAGGAGCGACCTGTTCTAAACCCATGTTGCCCTGGGTTGTGTAACTGATGGGTTTCTAGATAGGTGGTGATCTTGCTTCTTGGGACCCTTTCAAAGATTTTTTATGATATGGGATGTTTAGTGCTATTGGTCTGTAGTTCTTTGCTGTTGCTTTACTGCCCCCTTTGTGGAGAGGGGCTATGTCTGTTGCTTTTAGTAACTGTGGGACGAACCCCGTGTCCATGCTCCCTCTCCATAGGATGGAAAAGGCTCGTGATAGGGGCTTCTTGCAGTTCTTGATGAACACAGAGTTCCATGAGTCTGGCCCTGGGGCAGAGTGCATGGGCATGTCATTT